AAAAAAAAAAACAACGACCACAAAAACCCTAAGAGGTCTCAAAACACAAAGGGTCACGTAAATCTGTACACTTGTTAAAACGATAATCGTGAGGATGATGCAGTGACACGGAAGAGGCGGCCATGGGCACTGATTTTAATGCTGGACAATGGGGACGGGGACCAGGAGAGATTATGCAGAAGTGAAGCACACATTTGTGTCAGGGGGATGGGAGGTGGATGCCTTTGTCTATTTTCCAAACTTTTTGCGAAATGCTGTGGTGGCTCTATGGCCCATTTTGAAATAATTTGATTCGTTCTTTCTTGGGCTGGGGAGAGACATACTAAGGCACCAGGGTGAACTTGGCAGCTCTCGGTGAGGGAAAAGTACAAGAAGGGGCCGATCTGTGGCCTTAGGAGGGAGCCCCTGGAGCCTTTATGTGCTTCTTGGCCACTATTCTGAATCAACTGGTTACCTTGCCCAGATTGTACCCCCATCCTGGCCGGTTTCTCGTTTTCCTGCTCAGAACATCCTGCCTCATCGCTCTCAACTTTGCCTGTGTTTGTCCCAGAGACCATCCTGCCACTGACTGCCCTGGACTGCCCAGCACACTGCAGCCCAGACCCCAGGCCGTCATCCTGTGGCTCCGGCCTGTGCCTGGCATTGCCATTGAGTGGCCTGGCCCCAGGAACGGGGGCCCAACTCTCAGCTTCTCGGGGAACCCTCTCTCCTCTCCCTCTTATATTCCTGGTGACTTCGAGGCTGCTGCCCTGGGAGACATTCCTAGATTTTAAAATAAAACTTTATGTTTTCCTTTTACATTTTAAAGTTCTGGATTTGGAATAAATCTTACAATCTAAGTGTTCATCCAAGGAGGTAATGTTTCTTTTTTTCTCTAAAAGGCGGTTATTAAATTGATGGATGGCATGTCTTACAACCGCTGGCATCTTAAAACTGAGGAAATTCAGCAATTTCAAACGGAGGTGTTTGCGGAATTAGGCTGACCAGAGAACCTTCTGTTTCCTTCTAAAAGCAATTGCTTCTCTGTCCTAGAGATGGGGCTGCCTCCCTAGCAAAACTGCTGCTTAATTCTGAAAGTAGAGAGAGTTGTTGAAGGGTTTACAGTTGACAGTGAAGGCAAGCCCCTACAGACCCCTTCAAGAATATCTAAACGATACTTCCCAGCTCTGTTCACAGAAACACCTAGAAACTGGTTTCTACAGAAACTGGTTCCACAGAAACCCAGTAGCAATGAGCATCTCTCGTGGCTAGATTATGGTCTCTAAATACCATTTCCCAATAGAAGGAACCAGAAATTCTTGGGGAAAATGGTCAATTCCACATCTGGGATCAGAAATATACAAGGGGAGCCTGGAATATCTTGTCACATCAGAAAGCAGGAAAGCTGTCACAGACTCGTATTTTTAAAAAAGGGTGCAGGGGGCACCTGGGTGGCTCAGGCGGTTGAGCATCCGACTTCAGCTCAGGTCATGATCTCGCGGCTTGTGAGTTCGAGCCCTGCATCGGGCTCTGTGCTGACAGCTGGGAGCCTGGAGCCTGCTTCGGATTCTGTGTACCCCCCCTCTCTGCCCCTTCCCTGCTTGTGCTCTGTCTCTCAAGAAGAAATAAATGTTAACAAAACTTAAAAAAAAAAAAAAAGGGATCCAGGAGCTCTCAGTATCTAAGAGCATCAATAAGATAAAAACTGTAATAAATTGAAAACCTTCAAACACAGTCTGTGTAAGTTCATGATTTATGATCGTCAGACACAAAGTTTTTTTTTTTTTTTTTAAGTAGACTTCACACCCAGCATGGAGCTCAATGTGGGGCTTGAACTCACGACCCTGAGATCAAGACCTGAGCTGAGATCAAGAGTCGGATGCTTAACCAACTGAGCCACCTAGGTGCCCCCAAACACAAATGTTTTAGTATGCGAGAGAAACACCTTTTTATTCTGAAAGCTGAAAAATAAAGGGAAAGAACCAAGCATTCAGACTGCCTTTCCTATTTGACTTATACCTCAGAGTAACCATATCATTGAAGAAAAATTTCTCTTTATTGATGAGAAAAAGAATGATAGGATCGGTGGACCACCATCCTGCACCCAAACCCCTAATATAGTAATGGGTGTGCCCACTGAGCATTGACCGCCAATGTCGCAAGAACCCTGACAAGCAGACATTCTATATGTCCTGAAGGGAATGCCCAGTGACATCGACACCCCTATGGTCACGTCTTGCCCCGGTGGTCAAACTTCAATCGGATGAGGCGTCTAGATCTAATGAACAATTTACAGGAAATACAGGGGCCTGAGGAACAGGTTAAACAACACCATAGAGATACAACCAGTAAAATCCTGACACTACGGTGGGGGGGGGGGGGGGAACCCTTTCTTTAACAGATAATTTCGAAGAAAAGGTGAAAAAAGATGGGAGGGAACCTAGAGATTATAAGAGGCTTAAGAGACTTAACAGGGGCACCTGGGTGGCTTAGTTGGTTGTGTCCAACTTTGGCTCAGGTCATGGTCTCGTGGTTCATGAGTTTGAGCCCAAGTCAGGGTCTGTGCTGACAGCTCAGACCCGGAACCTGCTTCAGATTCTGTGTCTCCCCCTCTCTCTGCCCTTCTCCAACTCGTGCTCTGTCTCTCTCTCTCAAAAAATCAACCAATCAATCAATCAATCAACATTTAAAAAGAAGAAAAGTGACATAACAAAGAATCACAATGTATGGACTTTATCTGGATCCCAAACCAACCAATCACAATGGGTGGAACTTATGGGAAATCTCAAAACAACCCGTCAGAATGTGTGGACCCTTACCTGGACCTCAATTCGAGAAACAAACTGTTAAAAAAGGAAGGTGAAGAGACTGTCAAGGGAAATAGGAACTTGCTAGATACCCTACTCATTTAGGGAATCGGTGTTAATTTGAATTTTGGGGGGTGTAATGGTGGTAGTGAGATGATGTTCTTCCTAAAGTCCTTATTGGTTAGAGCTACACGCCGAAGTATTTAGAGATGAAGTGCTCTCGGGCCTGGGGTTTGGGGTAACGCAAACTGAGGCGGGGGTGGTAGGCGGGTGGGTGTGGATGGACAAGCAGGGCCGGCCGTGGGCTGATCACTTTTGCAGCAGGAGCTGGGCTCGCGGGCTCCGAGCCTGAGCATGCGGGAGTCTGATCTGCCACGATGCGGAGTGCCGCGTGGTTCGTGAGCAGGTGCTGACAGCAGGTGTGAGGGCCGCGGTTAAGGGGTCCCTTAAGACAAAGCAGGGGGGAGTCCTCTGGGCCAGACAGGGGGCGCGGGTGTGGTGTGGCAATCCCCTTCCCACCCTCTGGCCATGGGATTTATTGTCCTCATGCTACTGATAAGGACACGGAGGCAGTGGAAGACAGTGGAACTTAGCGGTTAATTAAGTGCATGGATGTTGGTTTCCCCGGGGACCTCCATTCAGAGGACTGTGCCACTCAAAACTAGTCTGGGTGGGGACGCCTGGGTGGCTCAGTCAGTTAAGCGCCCGACTCCCCGTCTCTTGATTTCGGCTCAGGTCATGATATCATGGTTCATAAGATCAAGCCCTGCATCGGGCTCTGCGCCGATGATACGGAACCTGCTCGGGATTCTCTCTTTCTCGCTCCCCCCCTCTCTAAAAATAAATAAGGAAACCTCAAAAAATACAGTAAAATAAACTGGGAAGACCCACACCTCACGGGGTGGCAGGAAGGTGGAAGACGGAACGCTATTTGATGTCTGAATCTGGAGTCTGAGAGACAGAACAGATCCCCACCAGCTCCACGTCTGAGCGTGAGCGACCCCGCCTCTCGGGGGCTGAAAGTGGTCCACTGCTCGTGGTCGGAGGGGATTGCTCTGGAAGTCGCCGCAGGCGGCTTCTTACGGACACTTACTTGTCCAGGGTCCGGGAGTCATCGGCATACTCAGGAAGGTCGTTCAGGTCCCTGGGGGAGGCGGAGATCTGGTGCAGGCTGAGGGGCAGTGCCTGGCCGTCCTTGCCCACCACTTCCAAGCCTGTGAGCCCCAGGTAGTGCGGGTCCCCCCAGGAGGCAGTGAAGTTCAGCTGAAGGCCTGTTAACAGGAGGAAAAGCGGCCCATGAACGCCAAACATTCCGGAGGAAGCTCCCAGACGGAGACAGGAAGAGGGATGACCTTCAGCCTCTGTTCTACCGCCTTGAAAACCCAGACTCAGATGAAAGGGCCTTCAGGGTGGGCTCTCCACCTTTCCTCTTAGTGGCCCTCAGGCCTGGGACACCGCTGATGTTCTGGAAGCATCTGCAGGATGACTGGACCAGTGTCGTGTAAACCCGCACATAGCCCTGGATCCTTTCTCCACTCGTCCATCACGTTGCCTAACACCGTAGCGGGGCTTCCCGCCAGAGTGATGCTTGGCCAACAGGCCTCGGCCATGTGGCTTCTACCTACTTGTCTAACCTCCTCTTACAACAGGGAGCTGGGCTCCACCCAGACTGTCCGTCACTCACATTTCCATTCCTGTCTCCTGTCACAGGGCCTTTGCACATGCTGCTATTGCTGTCTGGAACTCACATAGTCTAGTCAACGGGTGTGCATCCTTCAGATCCCAAATCACTTCAGAAGCCCGCCTGACCCCGTCAAACCTCCATCCGCAGCCTGCCGTGTCACTGTGAATTTCCATTTCCCTGCCCTGGCCACCACTGTGATCTTGTGACCGTTTGGTAAACATCCGTTTGCCCTGCCGGAGGGTTAACTCTCGGGGTGAGCCACGACCCACGATGACACCTCTATCCTTTCGCCCCTGCCTCACCCGGGCTCCATCAGAGACCCTTTGGACGTGACCTTCTGGGGTCCTGGGGCAATACGGCCCAGGTGAGTCACCCGTTTGCCCCAATAGCTCAAATCGAACGAATCCTGACCAAAGTCAGGCCCCAACAGGTATGTGGCTGGAGCTCTTCTCTCCTAACTGGTCTCCCGTTAGAGCGGGGCCAAGCCCCGTGAACTCCCTACCCTGGAAGGATGTGGAGCCTCTTTGGCGCCCTTCTGGGGAGGCCGCGTTCAGAGGGTTCACACTCTTCTGCAGCTTTGACAGGACGCCCGCGCTGTGGTGCTGGGGGAAGGCCGCTTGGACGTCCCGTCCAGCTCAGCTCAGGCGCGGAGGCGGAAGCCCGGGGAGTCCGCAGGACACGCTGGGAAGTGGGGCCAAGCGACGCAGTCTCCCCGGAGCCCCGCTCCCTCTCCTATCCGCCTGTCATTTCCAACATACGCGCTGCAACTCAGCCTCAGATCCCGTCTGCTCTCTGCCGAGGCAGCCCCGGGGCATCTTGGCGGCAGACGTCAAAGCCGGGTGACCTGCATGGTAACGGGCACGTCCTAGCTTCTCACGGCACCGACGGCGTACACCGTGAGCACAGACCCTTTGCCACGAGACTTGGCTGCTCCTCCCGTGCGAAAGCGGGGGTCTATCTCTGCACGGCTCGAGTCTGGGTCATGTGACCTGCCGTGGCCAGCGGGGGCACAGAAAGCACACGTGTGCACTGGGGCTTATCCCTTGGGCGTCCTGCCGCGTGGAGGAGCCGGGCCGACCCAGTCTCCCTGCCCCTCCAGCCAACAGCCTCCCAGCTGCCGGACGTGTGAGCGAAGATGCCCTAGACCATTCGGCCGCCGGCCCATCTGCCGGCTGACCAGCAGGCCCAGGAGAGGCCGGCCGAGCCAGCCCACGGGAGGACTGCCCAGCCAGGCCACGGAATTATGATCTGAAGGGGTCGCGCGAAAGCCACTGAAGTCTCGGTTGGTTTGTTCCGCAGCAAAAGCTAATCGACGCGCTCCTTTGCATCGCGAGCCCGTGCTCAAATGTCATCTCCTCAGAGAGGCCTCCCCCGACCACACGAGCTCCAAAGGCGCCCCCATCACTCTCCGCTTTGTTTTCCGCCACGGCGCTTGCTGTCTGACCACGTGGTCTACATCTGTTTGCTTATGTGTTTTCTCGTCTGCCCCACTCGGATGGAAGCTCCCTGAGGGGAGGAGCCCTGTTGGTTGTGTTCCCTGTTGTGTCCCCAGAGCCTAGGACAGTATCTGGAAAACAGATAAGGCCAACAGAGTTTTCTGTGTCACTTTTTAAATACCTGCAGGGAAATGAATCAGTGTAAACCCATCGCCTGCCACCAAATTCACAGTTAAGGGTAAATGAATATTTATTGATCATCTGCTATGTGCAAAGCCCTGCCCTTGGACTTGGGGGTCCGGGGGTCACATCTCTCTAGAAGCTTCCGTCGCGGTGAAGACAGACAAGAAGCACGTGACAGACAGACAAATACGATACTTCCACAGAGCTATGAGTACCGTGAGGGAAATAAGACATGGCTGGGGAATGACCTCTCTGAGGTAGTGACAGTGGGGCTGAGGCCCGGGGGAGGCGTGGGAGGCCGCCATTCTTCAGCATTTCTGGAAGAATATTCTAAGCTGAGAGGACAGCAAGGGCACTGGCTCTGGGACGGGAGCCAATGTGATCTGTGGTTAGGACCAAGTGATCGAGGGGGGCGGTGGAGGAAAAGGAGGTCAGAAGGTGGGGCAGGGGCTGGCTCACGTCCTGAAGTCTGGATTTTCTTCTCCCTGAGATGAGAAGCCACTGGAGGGATGGACTTGGGATTTTTTTTTTTAATGTGTATTTATTCTTGAGAGACAGAGACAGAGTGCAAGCGGGGGAGGGGCAGAGAGAGAGGAGGACACAGAATCTGAAGCAGGTTCATGGCTCCGAACTGTCAGCACAGAGCCTGACGCGGGGCTTGAACTCCTGGACTGCGAGGGTATGACCCAAGCCGGGGTCAGACACTTGAGCCACCCAGGCCCACTTGTGCTCCCAAGAGGCAGTGTGCACGGAGGTGGAGGACGCAGTGGATTTGGATGAGGGGATCACCGTGAGACAGAAATGCCACCTGCCCCCAGGGAAACAAGACAGGGCTCCCCAGCCTCTCCCCGGACGCCCCTTGGCTTGCCTGGCACGAGGTACTACTCGGACATCTAATTTGGGGTTGCTCCAAAGGCGCCCGCACTCCTGTTTGAGCTAATATCCACGCTCCACATTCATTTTCCTCTGGTGTATCAATTAGTATTTATATAAATGGAAATTAATTTTGTTATTTCTCTCCCACATTTCAACTCTCTCAGCTACTTTCCTATTCATCACTGCTGATATTTGCAAAACGCCCCAAATTAGTGTCATCTGCAAATTAGCAAGTCATATATCCCCTTTCAAAACATTAATAGGATTGGCCATATTTACCAACCCCAGCGCACCCCCCCGGGTCACGTTATCAAAGCTCTCTCCACTTGCGCAGGCTGGCGAAGTGGGTTTAGGATTTTAGAGACAGCAGGGGAAACAAAAATGTTCGGGGAAGAGAGACTCAGAAATTGCAGGGCTCCGAGAGGGCAGAGGATGCTTGGTCAGGACGCTCTTCTCCCGACCAAGTAGAGAAGCAGGAAAATCACACTTTCCCTACAGCAAGAAGGGCTCGGAGCTCTACTCTGGGGCAAAACTCTCAGAGGCACTGAAATCACATTTCCAAGAAAGGTCAGAAGCTGGTTGGGCAGGAAGGACATTTACAGACAGCATCTTCGGGGAAATCATCAGATGAAGGGGACAGTGGCTGCTTCTGGCCAGCCTTCCTTCCTTCCTTTTCTGGCTTTGGCATTCTGACCTCTCCTAGAACACTGGGGGGCTGACCCCTCACCTCTGGCTTCAGGGATGCGCCTCTGACCCAGGCTGCACGGAGTTTTCCATCCCACACCCCGACTCCCTCCCCGCTGCGGTGAGCCCCGGTCATTCGTTTATGGATGGGCACGTGACCCAAGCCAGGCCCAGGAGACATGATTCTGGAACGCTGTTGGACTCAATGGGAACAGAAACTCTCATTTATCTGGGTCTGCCGGGCAGAACGGGAATGTAAAGCCAGAGCTTCCAGAAGCTCTTGGGTGGCCAGGGTCTGAATGGGAGAAAGACAAGAGAGAGTGAGACAGGGCAGAGAGCCGGAGGGAGACACCTAGGCTAGATGAGGTCATTCGCCCACTTGAATCCGGCTGTGCGGACGGAATGAGAACTGAACAGGAAAGCCTCAGCGTGGTGCCCGAACGGGGGGGACAAAACCAAGCCCCAAACCAGGCTCTCGCCTGCACTAGGTTGGTTCTAAAAAAATTCTCTGCTGTCAGTTGAGAGAGTGTTCTGGAATGTAAGGATCTGCGGGGATTCAAAGGGAGGCATCTTCCCCTTCTAAGAGGAATTCGTCTTTGTGCAGTGAGCGGGGGAGAGCTGGCTCTCGCTCGGCACACGGGCAGGCTTCCGGGGGGGAGCTGGGTGTGGCAGCAATGCCCTGAGAAGGGGGCGCCGAGGATGCGGTGGGGGCACAGCCGGGTCCCAGCCCAGGACCGCAGGGCGCATTCCTCCAGCGGAGGGCAGAGCTGACGGCTCACAGCTGAGTCCTCCCACACGCGCTGCCCTGGGCCTTGCCGCTCCCCGCGTGTGTTGACACCCGTAGATACGGGTGTATGAGGCCCGGTCCCCTCCCTCTGCCTGTCCTGCTCGCTGCCCTCCCTCAAGAGGGAGTCCACTGGTGTGGCTGCAAAGGACTGACCGCCAGGGCCTCCTTCATGGGGGACAGGGAATGGGACGGGGGGAGATTGCTCAGCCAGGACCTTGGGCCTGAAGATTCCCCAGGACGCAGCAGAGGTGCTGGTGGGACGCACACAGAGTAAGGGAGGAACTGGCTGGAAGGGTGAGTGGGAAAAGAAGAGGGAACAGACACAGTGAAGCCCCGATGGGGTTTGCTCAGAGGCCACAAACTGGCACCCCGCTGGCTGGATATACCACAGGCGTTCCGTTTGGCTCATGCGGTATTTACAAATAGCATAAAATTAGTCCACCAACGCTTAAGAAGTCTGGAGACTTCACATAAAAATCCAGACTTCTCAGAAGACCTGGGACCCTGGGCCAGGATTCCTGCCACTCCCGCCCCACCTGGAGCAGGGAGGACGCAGATTTCCTTTGTGCATGAGTTTGAAGGGACAGCCCAACCCACCGGACGACAGATGCCTTGGGTCTCTTCTCGCTCTTACGTCTGCTTGGCCTATGCTTTCTGGGCTCCCGCTGCAGCCTCCTGGGTCAGGGCCACAACTAACACATAAGGTGTCTGCATGCAAGAGGCAAAAGTGCGCTTCCGGAAAAGGCCAACTGCAGACAGGTACCCCCTTCTGTGAAATGATGTGGCTCCATCCACGGCTTGGCCTCTCTGTGCAGTGTACAACCTGCCCAACCGTCTAGGGGATCCCTGCCCCAAGTGGCCATGACTGCCCTGGGCCCCTGACAGTCCTCCTTCCACCGGACATCATCCCAAGAGAGGATACTCACAGATCCCATGGTAGATGCCTGGCTCTGGGGTGGTTACTTCAGGGACAGGCGGACTGAGTGGGGGCTCCAGCTCTGGGACCTACACACGGATTGGGGGAGAAGCAGAGAGGAAGAAGGTGATTTTGTGATACCCGCACAGCTGGCTAGCCATTTTCCCAGATACTGCTGTCCACGGGGATCTGTGTCTTTTCTTGCATTTTCTACCATTGTGGAAGCTCTGTGACTGGTAACATGGGCAGCCGTCACGTGTCTGAGTCCTCACGAGCAGCTCTTTCTGGTTGGGGAGGAGTCTGACGCCACCAGCTAAAGTGATCAGATTTTCTGGAATAGGGAAGGACCCAATAAATGTTTACCTAGGGTGCTGGAGGGAGGAGGGGGAGAGGAGGATCAGGAGGGAGGGATGAAGAGAAGGAGAGTGAAAAATTTCAACCACAGAGAGTGGTTCTCAGCCTCAGGGCCTGGGCATCTCATTTTAAAAATGGGTATTTATTTATTGGGAGAGAGTGAGCATGCGCCTGTGCGAGCCGGGGGAGGGGCAGATAGAGACTCCCAAGCAGGCTCAGCATGGAGCCCAGGAACAACCTACTGGATCCTTTGGCCCGGCCCCCAGACAGAGCCTCTTCAGGCCCTTTCCCGCCTGGCTGTGGGGAGGAGAGTGGGGAGGGTGGCCCTCCAGGAGCATCTATGACACCGAGTAGCTTCGGGTCACCAGGGAAGGTCGCTGCCCTGTTCTCCACCCTCCCTGAGCCTCCTGGGACAGCTCATAGAAGGTTTGAAAGCATTTCCACTTAGTTGCCAATAGGTTTTAATTGGGGCAGTTTACATAAAAACCCAGGTTTCTGGCTTTTCTTGAAAAAAAAAAAAAATCAGGACAATTATCAGAATGACACAACCTCCTGTCTCCTCTCCCATGACCTGCACAGCTCTCTTTCTGCTTGGATTCCAGGGGACCCCTCTCCTCTCCCCCACCCTCTGTAACCATCTCCTTTTCCCCCTTAGGGCCTCAAGAACATCCCTGGGGACGCTGGTTCTCTTGATTGCTGGTCCTTCACTTGCACTGACCCTTCCTGGCATGTAGTTTTCATTTCGAAATTTGGTTTATGAGCTTTAAAAACATACTCTGGAGATTCTGCCTGGGTGGCTCACTCGTTGTAAAACTCAGGTCACGATCTTTATGAGGCTGTGAGTGGGCCCCGGTCGGAGACTCTGGGCTGACAGCTCAGAGCCTGGAGCCTGCTTCAGATTCTGTGTCTCCCTCTTCTCCTGCCTCACCCTAGTTCTCTCTCTGTCTGTGTCTCCGACACGTCTCTCTCTCACTAAATAAACATTAAAAAAAAAAAAAAAAAGTTACAAAAACCAACACAGACTTTGGGTCATACATTCCAGAGTTCAAGCCTGGTTACTCTCCTGCTGTGTGCCGCTTAGGCAAGCTCACTTAACCTTCCTGAGCCTTGGTTCTTTTACATGGGGTTTTAATGGTCTCACCTGGTTAGCATGAGTACTACAGCGTCACAAGATCACTATTGTGTGGGAACAATCGCTGGATTATATTATTTTTAAATTCTAAGTCTGCCCATTAAAGGGCTGTCCTTCTCCAAAAACAACAGTGGGTGATCAAACACAACCCAAAGCAAAAATTCCTGAGACTGCTACCAACCTCTAAATTACAGAGACTTGACCTGAGGACCGCTTTCTCCTAGCTTTGATTAAAATTTGAATACTTTCTTCACTCTGGTTTAAAAAAAAATAAAAAAATAAAAAATAATTAGAAAATGAAATATGACACACAGGGCCAAAAAATGAAGTAGAAGTAGAATGCCAAACAGTGGCCATTGGCAACTAAAGAACTATCTATCTTCATTCTTCCTGTTATACCCGGAGTTGGGAGAAGAAATCCCTCTGGGGGTGCTCCTGCCCCCTGCCCCTCCCCCCCCCCCCCCCCCCCCCCCCCCCCCCCCCCCCCCCCCACCAGTCCTACTGGCCCTCAGCCCATGAGCCGGCCTGGGTGTAGGGCCTCTCCTCCCCCTCGCTGTCGGCGGTGCTCGGCCTCCTCAGCGTCTCCCCACTCTGCAGGCTGCAGGGACCCTCCACGTCCACGTCAAATGTCTCATCAGAACAGAATATGGCCTCCAGAATGTCATCATCGGTCGTGAATAAGATGGTGTCTCCAAAGTGCTCTGGGGCTGGATGGGTCACAAGGAAGACAGAAGAGTCGACTCACCCCAAATCCAAATAGTTTGTAGACCGGGAACCCAAACCCATCAACCTTTGTGCTAGAAAATCCCAAACCACCCACCGTCCCCGATTTGTGTAAGCAAACCTCATTATTTATTATTCACCCACCGCAAATGGGATTCCCGGGGCCTAGATCAATGAAGGCATCTAATCTAAGGAGGGTCATGGTGATCGGTCCTGAAGTAGGTAATGTTTTTAGGTGTGGGCGAGGCATCCTGGCAGGATGCTGTTGGGACCCCCACCCAGATCCCTGCCGATCCTTTTTTGGGGGGCTGGAGGCTTGCCTGGAAGGGCGTGAGAGTGACACCCCCAAACCGGGGAGCCTGCAGGGTTCCAGAGCTCTTCTGCTTTGCTTTCAGGAAGGACGGACTTTGCAGTTTAAGCTCCAGAGCTCTCTCTGGGATCGGGCTGAGGCTGGGCTTCTCCCAAATCGTATCCTTGCCTGGCTTCCCCTCATTCCTATCCTGTCTCTCTCCTTGGACCACAGGCTCTCCTGGGAGCACCCCCTCAATAAGTTGCTTGCGGAAGAATTCCCCCTTCTCCGACTGAGGCTCTAGGGAAGCTGAGTGGGGCCAGCGCCCAGGGGAGACGTTTAAATGAGGTCAGCTCACCCGTGCACCCCCGCACACCCCCGTGCTGCAAAAGGGGAGGAGTGGGCCGGGCCTAGGAAGAGGAGAGACCCATCTGTCACTGGCGAGCCAGGGTCTTTAGTGTTTCCTCAGAGCCTCAGCGGGTGGCAGGTAGAGGCTTCCAGAACATTCTTACAGACATACTGTACCTCCTGTCAGGGTCCCTGAGGCCTTGGCGATTTCTCCTTTGAAGATGCACTGCGAGTCTAACAGCATGGTGATGTCCTTCACGCCACGGAAGGAGTGTATCCGAGATTTATTGTAGTTCCAGATCCGGATCAGGGCGACCTGGCAAGGGTGCACGAAGTCTACGGAGATGGTGTGGGGCTTGCCCAGTGTGAAAGGGGCCAGCCAGACGTGCATGTCGTCCTGGGTCCTGTTCACCCCGTCGACGAGGTTGGTGACCACGCGGGGGTCTTTCCCGTAGGCCGGTAAAATATTGATGTCGGGGGGCTCGGCTTGAATGTTCGCGATCTGCACCGGCTCCCCCTTGGAACTGAATATTTCTATTCCGTTAAGGCCGACATAGTGCCTGTCCCCCCACGTCGACTTGATGTCGATGACCAGGCGCTGTCCGTAAGGCAAGACGGGGATTTCAAAGTCACTCGCGTCGTCCGTCTCTACGGGACTGTCTTCCCGGCCTCTCCTTGGCCCCAGCTTCTCCTCCTTCCACGGGGGCGGCTGCTCGCCGTGCCGGCTGGCCTTCTGCTGCTGCAGGAACTCGTCCAGGATGTCCCCCTGCGGCTCCATGTTGGAGATGCGTCCCCGGTGGGAGCGGTCAAAGGCACTGAGGGAGTCCCAGGACTCATGCAGCGTGTGTTCCTGCTCACTGCACCACCGGGGTCGTGGCGGCGTCTCGGTGGACCGGGCGTCTTCTGGAAGAACACAGGAGGGTGAAGCCCCATTAGTGCCCTGTGTGCAAGCAGGGACCTTTACAGGCTGTCTCACCCAGGGGCTCTCGGCCAGGTGGGGTCGCCCTCGGGGTGGGGGGGCGGCATTCTAGAGATCAGTGGGGTGGCTCTTGGGGTCTCAATGCCTAGAGGCCCTGCTGGCCTTTGATGGGTGGGACCGGGATGTTAGTATCCTGCCCTGTGCAGGACAGTCGGGGCCTCCTGTCACATGCCACATTCAGGTTGGTAAAAAACTGATGATGGTTACTCAAGTCTAGAATCTGGCTGTTTTACAAAAAGCAAAGTATTTTTCAATATACTTTGAATTTTTTTTTCTTAAGTTTATTTATTTTGAGAGACACAGAGAGAGAGAGAGCATGCGCACAAGCAGGGGAGAGGCAGAGAGACAAGGAGAGAGAGAGAAGCCCAAGCAGGCTCTGGCCCGTCAGCACAGAGCCCAACGCGGGGCTCGAACTCACAAACCGCAAGATCATGACCTGAGCCGAAACCAAGAGTCAGATGCTTCACCAACTGAGCCACCCAGGCCTCCCGAAAAGACGCTTTGAATTTCCTAAGGCAACTGCCATGCAAATCGAGGGAAGACACTTTGTTGTGTGACAACCTTTGCTGGGAATCATCCGGCGTGTCAGACACTCACAGGACGGGCGGGGGTCACGCCACCGCCAGTCGCGCCTGAGTCAGCAGCCAGGGGGTCTGCTCTGAGCCTGTCACGTCACGTGACTTGGACAGCGTCTTCAAAGACTGCCTAACGGCAGGTGGAACGCTCGTGAAAGAACGCCGAGTGGGAAAAAGCCAGACCCGCGACTGTCAGATGCAGCAGATCCTAGCACGGGCGGTGCGCGCCAACGTGTTACCACGAGCCTTTCTGGGACAGGAGTAGGAAGGGCTTTTAGCTTCTTTGTCACCTGATCTTCCGAGTTCCCTGGATGTGTTATTTTTATAACCGGGAGAAGGTGCTATAGAAACTGCCAACAACACAGGTATGTTACAAGCAAGGAATTTACTTCTGTGCGTGGCTAGGTTGGCTTCCAGATCGGAAGCCCGCGTCCCCAGCACACGGAGAACACAGTCGGGCCCTCAGAGGCGCGCTCCGAAGGCTGCGCTCTCCTCCTCGC